AACCATGGTTATCAATGATGAATAAAAAAAAAGCATTCCATAATTTTATGTATGGGAAGAATGATTTGCCAAAGAGTGGTTCCAATTTGACTGTACAAGTGCAAATTACCACAAAATGCTTACAGCCAAGTACAAATATCCCATGTGACAACCACTGTGGTGTGCAACCTACTGTATTAACTCTACCTGTGTGAAGTGTTAGGTAAATATGTCTATCAAGGTAGGCAATGAAAATTCAGATTGTGAAAAGAAGACACTAGATCAAATATTGGACAACAAATAATCAAATGTTTGAACACACAAGAATTCCATGTTGACTTGATAAATGCTAACCACGCTCACCTTACATCCTTCATTGAAAGCATTTCATGAAATACATTTAAACATATAGCCCCTTAAATATTTGATAATAGCTATATGATACGGCAAGATAAAAAAAGTATGTGAATGTTAGCTAGTTAACATGCAGTCTCTACAGATTTCCATATGCGATGAGTTGTGAGACTGATTTATGAATACAGGTGTTGTGCAAGGAGCTTCACTTTCATCCCATGCTTTCAGTGTAAGTTGTGGATCAGTGCCTGGAGACAAAGTGTTTTCCATGTTGTACTCATTTATGATCCAACAGCTTTTGTCCCACTGAGAAATGTTGGAGAAGATCTGTGTATAATGTGTCTTGGTTGACATGTTGCCTTCGAGAGGTCTGAAATACTGTCTGTGTCATTCTGTGATGAAAGCTGCAGAATAATACAGTTATCACACACAGAACAAGTGATTATTGTACTGTTATGATGAATTATCATCTCATTGTTGCTCATTATTATATTTATGTGTTAAAATGTTTTTTCTTCATGTTATTTTATCATGCTGTCATTCTTCATTCACAAACAAAATACTTGACTGTTGTCTCAAACTAATATTTTTCACATGCAACAATTTCTGAATAAAAATAATGTATTGTACATTAAGTCAGTGTGAAGGTCTGTCAAAGACAGGGTGGAATGACCCAACTGTTAGTATTCAGTTGACAGTTGAAAATGAAAGAATTCACCCATCCTGATAGCTCGCTGCTCAATAGTTTTGTTCATGAGACAAGTTTCAACTTATTTGTCCTTTTTCTGCAGCCAGAAAACAACCCTGCAGATTGACAGTATCTGTGTATTGTCTCTGAAGTGAGATAAGGGATTTATTCCCAAATATATATATCACTGCCAAGTATGTGATATATATTAATAACAAATCTCTGTCAAAAGATTCTTGATATCTCAAATGACATTTAAGTATTTTGCATAAATACTACAATATTCCATTGTAATAATCATATGATTCCATTCTAAAATGTTGTTTAAACATTAAGTCTCTTTAGTCCCACATAGTTGACACTGTCTCTCATTCAAATTCCAATCCCTTTATTCCAATGACATTCCTTACCTTAACATACGTCACATCAGCTGAGTGTTCCAACAATAATATACTGATATCATTCCCTTTCTACCCAGCACACATAGCAAAGATTAGAGATATCCTCCCCAACCTGTTTACAATTTCTAGGAAGTATCAGTGACAAAAGAGTTGTCGGCCCGTCCACCCCTAACCTTCCATTAGACCAAAGGGACACTGGGGATGTAATTTACTCAGAACAGACCAATATTTACTTGAAACCCCAGCTGACATCTCTCCATACCTCTCAAACACGCCACACAAATATGTATAATCACAAAAATAAAGACGAGCACTTTCTACACGGACAGGCAAGACGATGGGGGTCAACAAAAATGAAAACAAGAAGTTTGAGTCTTTGTGTTTTGGAAACATTCTCTAAATTCCAAATGGTTTTGTCTTTCATTTAAATGGTGCAAGAAAAGTGTGGTTGTTAAAGTCATATATATTTGAGGAGGACACTGAAATGCTAGATATACAAGTCTATATCTGATGAGGATGTTTCAGTAGCTTGACCTTCTACCGAACAACCACTTATCATCTTTTTATGAATCTAAGGCCAGACCAATTGTATTTCTTGTTTCACAGATTTTTGTCCTCAGAAAACCTTAAGGCAGGAGGTGAAAAAAATAAAAATAAAATCACCAGTTAAAGTAATATTCCTTCTAAATATTAAAATTATTTTGCTTCTGGCAATTTATGAAGTGTATATGGGGCAAAAAATAATCCAAAACATTTTTTCTAGTAAGTTTACATTTTTGGCCAATAAAAACATAAGGATATTATTTTTTGAGCGGGGAAAATCAAATTTTTTTTCATATTATTAAAAAAATACGACCGCCGGATCCGCAAAACAAGAAATAAAATTGGTCTGACCTAATATATAAATAAACCTTTCAAGAAAACACTGCTTTATTTTCGCATAGAGTAAGTCTAGTGTTTCTGACTTAAATGGATCACTGGAAATCAGTAATTACAGTAAGTAAGCTTGCCCTGCCATACTCCTAAAAATCTGTTTTACAACTGAAACTTTTTCTAACTCATTAATACAAAACGATTATTTATAAAAGTTATTTAAAATCAATGATAATGATAAAATCTGTCAAAGGTAATAAATTCAATTTTAAAGTATTGATATCCACAGTTTGTTAAAAAATATACTATAAGACTGTAGGTAGATACAAGTGATAACAACTTTGTTTGAGTGACCTAAATCTCTAATCTACTTCAAACAAACACTTAGAAACATCACCTAAACCATTCACTACATTTGAACCAAGAATACTTATCATACCAAAAATAATGAATAAACATTGAGGAAACTTGGTATAGAGTGTACACAGTGTTACAGTGTATAGATCAGAATAAATAATCCTGGACTCAAGAGGTCAATCTAGGCTTAAGATAAGACAGTCATTTGTCATAGCGAATCTGACAGGACGATACTAGATGAAATCTCTATAAAAGATAGCTAGATCTCTGGACCCCATTCCCATGAATGAACTTAGCTTTAAGATAATCATAACTCCCAGAAATTAACATTATTTATAAGAAGCATAGCTGTAAGATTGGTCTGTGGAACTGGGCACTGAGAGGGACTTGCTTGACATTGGGATGGGGAGGAGTTGGATGAAAGATGGGGTGAGGTAAATAGCTGCACTCATTTTCTTAGTGATCTTTTAGCTCATAGCGAGAGACTCAAACCCGTGATCTGGGTTAGAAATTATCTTCAACAACCCATGCAAGGTGACTAATGGGATCGGATGGTCAGGCTCGCTGACACATGTCATTGTATTCCAGTTGCATAGATGTTGTTGATCACTCGATTGTCTAGTCCAGATTTGATTATTTACAGTCGCCGCCATATAGCTGGAATATTATCTGAGTGAGGTGTTAAATGATAAACAATAGACACTCATGATGGAAGCACCTGTTGAAAATGTAAACTGTCCACAGGTATATCTTACAAAATCAATGACCACAAGACTACCCCACTGCCCCTAATGATCATAATCCAATATTCAACATCCAAGAGTCTGGGACATACAGATACTTGCATTGATGAAAGAGACATATGAAATACAGCCTGAGGTTAAACAGTCCTTTGGCGCTGGCAATGTAATTACTAGCCACTGCTTATTAAGCATACAAGATGATACCCCAGAACCATGATTTGTTAATAAGGAAATTTGCTAATCAAAACGATTTCACCAGGAGAGCTACCATCCAGATTAAATTAATTTCTCATGTACAGTACTTCCCACCTACCTCGACCGCCTCCGTGTGTGTATGTAGTGGTTAGAGCGTCCGCCCGGAGAGCGGAAGGTCGCGGGTTCGATCCCCGACCGCGTCATACCAAAAGACGTTAAAATATGATACTTGTTGGTCCCTGCCTGGCGCTCGGCATTAATGGGTACAACAAGGACTGGTCGGCTCGGAGTCAGTGGGCTAGCACTATAAAACCAGCTTAAGTCTGGGCTAGTACAAGCAGACACGCATACACATACACACGCATGCACGTCGTCATATGAGCGAAATATTCTCAAGCATGACGTTAAACCCCATATCACCTCACCTCCCACCTACCTCAGTGTGTGTGAACTATAACCAACAGTGACCATGCTATCCCAAGTCCTGTCAGAATCATCTGATGAAGACGTGCATCAATGAAAGCAAGTCCTCCCACCTTCCTGACAGGGTGGCCCACTGACTCAGTGTGTATGTATAGGATATAATAAGCACATACACCTACCAGGGATTGACGACTCTGACTCAGGTCTGTCCTATTCATGGCTTGTTTCAATCTCATTAAAACTGCTCTATGATATATAAAAGATTTTCTTTGAATTCAAGTGTAGAATCTATTGTTGGTTTTGTCCAACTTGTGTTTCCAGAAGGCAGACAAGGGCAGCTTACTTATAACCAGACATAATTACAGATACAGAAGTGTACAGTCATGTGTTGTGATTATTTATATGAATTATTGTTAAATCCATTTTCCAGCTCGTTTTTCTATGTTTGTTTCTGAATTTTTTGGGGCAAATAAGAAAATTTTAACGTAAACGCCAGTGAATATTCAGTCTCCAGTATCCATACATGGAGACAGATAACACTTGGAATAAAAAATAGCAGTGAAAATCATAATGAAAAATACCTGGTAATCTGTGATAAAGTGTTTGTGAAAAAATAAACACATTTCTCCTCTATTAACATTCTTGTTCTGCATCTTTTTCACCACGGAAAATAATATTTTCTTGAACAAAAAACCCTAATTAAATGCGTGCCTCAGCTCATGAACTTTTTCTATCACACTAAAAGTAAAACTTCTATTTCATGAAAAATGTAAACAATAGTCTTGAAATATTTCAAAAGATAATCTGAAGAAAACAATCCCTCAATTTCAAAGTCAGCAATGGGTTTTGTTGACATGAGATTATCTCTGTGTGTCAACATACCTCACTTCAATAAGATGTCTCACATGCCAACTATCGAAGAAAGGATCATATTGAACAAAAGACAGATATGAAATCTTGTTGCGACAAAGACCTACAGTGACATACCTCAGTTTGTTATTGCACTGTATTATTTCAGAGTCTCCGACAATTCATGCATGACAAGATGAACGGCTGAGTCATAATATCATCAAAGCTCCATCGCAGGGTCATCGGAGATGCACTGTGAGAATAGATCAAACCATCACCACCAATAACTCACTTCACAAAAATTTAGACAATCTGGTTCAATTTCACAGTGACCTGGCATGAGCTGTAACCTCGAAACACCATCCCCAGTTATCAACGGTACAGTGTGTCAACGAAAGCATACCACCCGTAAGTCACCATACAAAAATGTACACAATCCGGATCAATTTCATGCTGAGGTGGAAATGGCATCCACAAAACTCCATCCATAGTTTGTTTGGCAAATATGAAACAAAATACAACTAAACACAAACACCTTAAGCACAGTTGGGTTATTCGGGTTCAGTTTAAAAGTAAACCGAAAAAGTTGCGGAACTATTTGCTGTTACTAAATACAAGTGTTGAAGGTTTTATACAGAGGCTGTAATATCATCCCGATTCAGGACCGTGATGGCTTGTCTCCTCAATGGACGACTGGAGCATCTGGCTGTCAAAGGGTCTCCTTGGCAGGGTAGAATGCTTTTGTCACATTCAATACAAATAGCCTTTAAAAAGAATCTGTCTCTATAGAACTGGTCCGGTTTAGGTTCTGACAATTGTGAATAGGGAAGAGGAGTCTTTAACAGCTTCAGCTCTAATTGTCACAGTTTGGGCACAAATGCCCCCTGTTGTAGGTCCAAGGCAAAGTGTGGACACATTTTACCTCTTGAGGAAAATATAATTTGAAATGAGACACTGACTGACAGAGGATGCTTTGTCAGTGGAATGTTCAGTACCTCTTGTGATTTGTTGGCAATAGCAATGTTGTCATGGCGATGTGTATGACGAGAGGAAACAGTGTGTCCTATATGACACTCAGAGTGATCGGTTGTGTGGTGGAGAGGTAAAGTTAAATAAATAAATTGAAAAGATATCTACTGTACCATTATATCATGTATGAATTACTCTGATAATAATAATAATGGCTATTTATAAAGCGCCTGTTTCGACACACTTGTGCTTCTCAAAGTGCAAATGCATTATTACCCTTGATAACCCAAACTGCCTGTGAGGCGTGAGAAGATCAATATGATATTTTAATACTTACATGAACTATTTGTGTGATTGTTTCAATTGGCTGCTTTCCATTTAGAGGCTGGGTTGTCTTACCATTATAGCCATACTGCTGTCTTAATATTGCAAGTAATATATTACTCTTTGTCATATCTTCTGTCATTTATCGTATATTAAAGGTATAAGATCAAATTTTATTAAAACAAATATACTGAGAGAAACAAATAAAGGAACACAGGAAAATGCAAGTTATCCTTTAATATTTTCCAGTTTTCATCACCAACTTTGAATAGTGCTGTGAGAGGAAATCTGAGAATAAACATAAAGGATCACTGCCATGAAGTGGTGTTCCCTTATTTGTTTCCCTCAGTATATTTTGAAAGGCCAAACCATTTCTAATTATGATGATGTTGAGACAACATGTGAACATAAACAACCAGCAAGAGAACAAACAAAATCCACAACAATTCAGCTGTAAACATAGTCTCTGTGGCCGTGTGTAGGTGTGGGGGTGGGGTAGCCTAGTTCGCTCATCATGCCTAGGACCTGGGTTTGATTCCCCACATGGGTACAATGTGTGAAGCCCATTTCTGATGTCCCCACCGTGATATTGCTGGAATATTGCTGAAAAGTGGCGTTAAACCATTTTCACTCACTCACTCACTCTGTGGCTTACATCTACTGTTACTGTTAACACCAGGTGATAACAAGCCAAATTAAGCAGTCACTTTGTAGACCTGTGTGAATCATGAAGAACACATCTTCACATCACAAATGGCCCACGCACTACGTACTACAGCATGTAAGACACACGCCCACCAGGGGGTGGCCAGCTGGATGAGGAGACGTAGAAGAGCACAATGGCTATAATTAGAGGTTGCTGTCGATAATGGAGCTCTATTGTTGTTGAGGGCACTCCATCTATCACATGGGGCCAGTGTAGGCCAAAGAAGGAGGTTCTGGGGACCATCGGGTTTTAGTGAGTGAGTGAGTTTTACACCACACTCAGCAATATTCCAGCTATATGGCAGCGGTCTGTAAATAATCGAATCTGGACCAGACAATCCAGTGATCAACAGCATGAGCATCGATCTACGCAATTGGGAACCGATAACATGTGTCAACCAAGTCAGCGAGCCTGACCACCCGATCCCGTTCGTCGCCTCTTACGACAGGCATGGGTTACTGAAGATCAATATTCTAATCCGGACCTTCATGGGTATCGAGTTTTAGAGTCTAAATATGAACAGTTTAAGATTTTTAGCTTTTCAAAACCAAACAGGAACATAGCTTTAAGGGAAAGGAGAGGTAAATTTTTGGTTTTGCAATTTATGTTTAGTAATTGTGTTATTTTAATTATTGACAGTATTATCACCAAATGAGGTGAGGTGAAATTGGGTTTTATGTCGTGCTTGAGAATATTTCGCTCATATGACGACGTGCATGCATGTGTATGTGTATGTGCGGCTGCTCGTACTAGCCCAGACTTAAGCTGGTTTTATAGTGCTAGCCCACTGAGATACCATGCCGCTGTGAAGCATGAATACCCCACTCAGACACATTATACTGACTCCGAGCCGACCAGTCCTTGTTGTACCCATTAATGCCCAGCGCCAGGCAGGGACCAACAAGTACTATATTTTAACGTCTTTTGGTATGACGCGGTCGGGGGTCGAACCTGCGACCTTCCGCTCTCCGGGCGGACGCTCTAACCACTACACCACGGAGGCGTTCTATTACCAAATGAATTAATCATGGTGTTGTATGTTTGCTATTAATATACCTGATCCATGGTAATATTTCAGAATTCTCCTATGTTCCATGGATCCATTAATGAAAACTTCACCTGATAACTCGACTTCTGCAGATTTTCTGCAGGTGTACGTGTTCAAACTGATAGCACTGGAATATTGCAACAATATAATGAGATCCACACATGTATATAGTTTGGTGTGATCATTGTTATACCTCTAAACTTTGAAATTACATATGAACATTTGTATCACATATCAGCTTCCAGTATGTGATGATGATTGTACTAGTACTTGTACTATATGTAGAGTACAACTTAACAGTTGAATTATCTGTGGATATCTGTATCTTGTAGTAATATCTGAATGTATGATTATTATTGTATACTACATATACTGTGCATACTACGACCCAACCTGTGAATTATGAAAATCTGTATCATGTATTAACTTCTGACTGTATAACCATTGTATTATGTAACATGTCAACAATATACATGGGAAATAAAAATACTTTTAAAAAATTAAAATGTTATACCTCTATTGAGTGCAAATAAAAATACTTTAACTCTATTCAAAGTTTAGGTCCAAAACACAATTGTCAAGCCCCTATCAAATATCATGTAGTCACAGCTTATTGGCTTCAGCCACCATCAACATGGGGTTTTGTTTTCGTTTGCCCATCAATTTTTCAAATTTCATGTGTAGAACAAATATGTATCAATATATATAATTTTATGAAATACTTCATCTTCTACTTACTGCCATCCTGGATTCAGTGGTGTAAAATATACTCATGGAAATGAATGATTGAACACATGAAGGTACAAATGTTCCTTTATTTATTCCCAGAATTTCACGCACAGTGCAATATATATCTTGTGAAGAAACCTGGAAAGAATATAGGAACACCTGTACTTACATGTGTTCCCCTATTCGTTTCCATGAGTATATCATCCCTGTTTGCTCACAGATAACTTCATAACATATTTAGACATCAATGTAAAGAGAGTACTATTATGATAGGGGTCTTGGGTCCAAGTGAGGGTTCTGGTGAAACCCATTATTTAACTGGCGTGCTGGTCTGCTTGTGGGGAATTAGCTCAGCAAAGAGTCCGAAGTCACAAGAAGCTAATTACAGTTTTATTAACAAGAACAAAATTAACATGGGGTGGCCACAGAGAGTTGGTACAACCCTTTGTGCTGAGGGTTAGAGATGACCTGTGTTGGGAGTCTAAACCCTACTGACAAACAAATGGAGTTGGTGACCATTTATCTAAAATTGAAACAATAGAAAGATTATGATTTGTTGAATGATACAAAATGGGTGTTCCCTATACTAACCAATGAAATACAGAATATGCGGTATGGGGTGTGTCCTACAAATGAAATGACCAGACAGGGAGAGTACTTAATCCTGCTAATCCTATTTCAACTGGCACTAATTGTGTTGACGCATGTCCTGGAAGCTTCCTAATTTAACTGGCACTAATTGTGCTGACATGTTGCTTGGATGGTTATGGTGTTACAATAGATGGCTTAATGACCCTAATTTAAAGTGTTTGCACAATATATTTTAATGGAGGTGATGACATGTTTACTTTATCAAAGCAGTTCATTAAATCGTCTAGACATTACTTTGTCTTACTGAAAGATTTGAGTCCTTGAAACCTTAGGCTAGGATTTATCTTGAACATCTGTGAAATTGTGCAGCCGTAACATATACCTTTTGCAATAGTATGTCTGTGAGATGAGTTTTACTACGTTTGACTGGAGTCTTTTCTAAGCTATTACTGATACATGATGAAACTAATATTCTATATTTATATTTTCCTAATATCTGAATCCCAATATATCGCTTGTAGTGGCCACAACTAACAATGAATCTTCGTATGAATTATTATTCCATGATAGTACACTGTTCCTAAATCTGTGTCACCAGACCAATATCTCCTCCATGTTTGTATACAGACAGGTGTGCCGTCCATGTACATTTTGCAATCGTGACATCCTTGGTAAACAAACAGGGTGAGTGTCCTACTCTATATATAGCACAAGTATTATGAAAACAGCCCTCACATCTTTCATATGAACCCAGAACTGTTGCCCCTGCTTATTCACAGACATGTAGAACGAGTGATTTGCTCTAGCAATACACCCACATGGGTATTATAGAACCGGACAATGATTTCAACAGTAAACAACTTGACTCCGTCCCGATCCGTTGATA